TTTTTTTTAAAAACTTTTTTTTTTAAGTTTGTATTTTGTGGTAGCAACATAACATAGAAGATCCCTCTATCCTTCACCTTAAATTCTGTTAAACTGAATACAAACACGATTTAATGCAACATGTGAAATCTTCCACAGCACTTAACATGAAGCATTTCCTTTAAAACACCTGAAATACAGAATCAAATACTACAGAGCTGAACTTTACAACAATTATAGCCATTTGTTTTGGTTTGTATCATAATTTTAATGTTCAAAACTTGGATGTTTTTTAATCTGCATCAGACAAATCAGGCTGTGAAATGTAAAAAACGGACTCACTTTTTCAAAGACTGGAGGTTGATGCTCATCCACTGAGGAGAAAAGACATTTGTGACTACGACGATTATCTTATTTTAATGAGACGTTGATCTACTTTAATAAGGTTCAGCTGCTTTACAAGGTAAAACAACATAGCTAAAGAAATCAAATTCAACAATGTATTAATCTTATTTATAAGATTTGTTTTGTTCTTATTTGTCTTACCTTTGGGTTCTGAGCTAGTCTCTGAAAACATCTGCATGAGATCAAATCTGTGCACTTCTTTAAAATCTCTCTGTCTCATCCACAGACTGTCGCGCCGTAGGTCTGCACCATCACATCCAATTTGCTGTACGCTCGTTTGAGTGTCTCAATAAAGTGGGATGTTTTGGAGTCCTTTTGAAGGCCGACAGCAGAAACTTCTTGAATTTCTGAGCTCCCCATCATTTAAAGAATGCAGGATTTCCAAAAGCACTCTTTAACAGCTGCCATTGTTGCTGCCTGGAATAGTTAACACACTCATGGGACATTTGCTTAATCAACTAGGACAATTTTAAATGTGTCTCTTAAGGTGTTGAGCTGGGTGTTTCTGACAGATATTCTTTTTATTATATTGATTATTGTTGAAGGAAAAAGTCAGAAAAAGATTATGTGCTGACATTTCATCTCATAAGCACTGTCAAAGATATTTATGAATCTGCTGCACAACATTACTGCTAAAACGCTCAACCTGAATAAAGCTTCAGCTTTGTGAAAAACAGATTAATTCAAATTTCATCAAATTTCATCAAAATGTTCATGTTCATGTGTAAATCAGACAGATGTGAAGTGATTACTCACTTTCTCCAACAGGACAGAGCGTGGTTCATCTGAGCGTTTCTCTGAGGAAAAAAGTGGAAAAAATAACTCATGAGAGATTGATCTTAAACATGACAAAGATGTTATCAGGCAAATAGTTTAGTAATGATTTGTGAGGTACAACATAAGTCAAAAAGATATATTGGTAAACCAACTGATAAGTCTTAATATCTGTGCACTATGAATCTTATATAAATCTTGTAACAGATACAGATGTAACTTAAACACTTGTGAAATAGGTTGAGAGACAGTTTTAGATTTTAAATGATCTTGGTCTTCATGGTCATACTTTTGAAACTTGAGCTGGTCTCCAACAACTTCTGCACCAGATCAGTTCTGTTATCTTCTTTAAAATCTTCATCGTCTTCACAACAGAGTTTTGACCAAAAGTCAAACTGTAACACACGCAGTGTCCTGATGGTTTGTCTGCCACAGCAAACGAGGGTTGTATGATATACATGTTTTGTAGCCTTCATTTCTGATCAACTGCTTGAATTCCTCATACTGGTTTTCTGTTAGGCAAGCCATAATTTCCACAAGCAGTTCTATAACAGATGTCATCTTTTCCACCTGAAAAATTAAAAGAACATGTTCAAGGTGCAAAAAATGAGTACAGATATTTCTTTTCACATTTCATCAATTGTCTTTTTTAAGACTGACCAACGTACATCTGCCACATGAACAGAGGTTATCATACTATAGTTATGTTTACATTCAAGTACTTTACTTTTTTTACAAACAGCTTATATTTCTGCATTGAGTAACATACGGTTGTTACCTTTGATTTTCTTTTTTAAGATTTATTTTTGGGCTTTTTGTACCTTTAATAGATAGACAGGACAGTGGATAGAGTCAGAAATCAGGGAGAGAGAGAGAGTGGGGAATGAGGGAAAGGAGCCACAGGTCGGATTTGAACCTGGGTCGCCCACTTGGAGGACCCAAAGCCTCCATACATAGGGCGCACGCACTAACCACTGCGTCCCTACCTTTAATTTTCTATTAAGTTTTTGTTCAATTCTAATTCCATGGTGTACATGTGTCTAAATCTGTGCAATGAAAATCAGATAACTGTATGAATCTTCCAAGAGAGTGTCTGTTAAAGGGGCGGAGCAAGGGGTGGCCAGCCCAGGAGGGACCAATGTTTAAATCATCTTTTTGTGCTGATAGTAGTATGTGCACTTTCTTTGTATGTCAATGTAACACATTTCATTTTGCTAGTATTTTAAAGGCAGAAAATGTGATTTTTATTTATCCAGCAGATGTCGCCTTTGAGCACCAGCATGAAACCAAAACAACTCGCGCTGCATTGTTGTGTTAGCATGCTAATGCTAGCGATTTTTATTATGATCGTATCTTCACACTGCATGTAAATTTACCTACGTGATCTAGAAACGTAGTTAAGCAGTGAGTACAGAATGTTATTCTTCTTTTCTCTAGTCCCTCAATTAAACAACTTTTATACGCGAGGGGATGAGTCGGCCGGCCAGCCGTCCCGGCGATGTAAACAAACTGAAGATAGGACTCGGAAAGCTCGGAAAACATCACAGACAGCGGGACTCGGGTGTTACACCCATTGTAGACAGTCATGACTCAGAGAGTTATTTTCAGAGGATTGATTTCTGCTACATTTAAGTGTGAAAAATTGCATATTAAGCCTTTTAAGGAAGAATGTGTGACATTTTACACATAAATACAGCAGAAATCAAGTATATCCTGTAAATGTCTGTTTGAGTTGTGACTGTCTGCAATGAGTGAGAAGCTCGAGTCCTGCTGGCTGTGTTGTTGTCGGGGTTGTGTTTACATCATGTTTACATGGACGGGACGGCCTTGTGCATAAAGCTGTTTCAGTCGAGGTCGAGAGAAAAGAAGAAGAATTTACTCACTGCTTATTTGGATTTCAAGTAAGTGTGTTTAGAACTCGGTCATTCTGTGTCAATTTATGTTTAATGTGAAGCTACGAGCTAAGTAAAGTGTGCTAACATTAGCTTGCTAACACAACAATGCAGACCACAGGCAACTGCAGCTCGAGCAAAGGACAAGTTTGTCCGCCACTTGCACTTAGTGGTTGTTAATGCTTTGAATTGCCCCCGGGGACAAGTAATAATTTTTTGAATTTAATTCATTTTTTTTATGGTGCGTTCTAATTCCTAACCCCTTCATGGGAGGCGAGTGGAGAGGTGTCGTAGGTGTGCTGCTGGAGGAGAGCAGAGGATTCAGAATGGCAGAGATGTTGCCAAACAGCAGTTTGTTTTGGTTTAATGCTGGTGCTCAAGGACGACATCTACTGGATAAAGAAAGTCGCACATTCATCCTTTAAATTGGATCTTCCTTTTGAGTGCTTAGAGAAATAAACTAAGATTTAAATGTTTTAATCTCTTTTTAAAGTAAAATAAATAAATAAATATTCAGGAATATAACATCATATAACATGTGATACTTAAATGTAAGGAGTTAAAGAAGATATGATTAGTGGAGATATAAAGGGGAAATAAATGCTGTTTATTCAGAGAAAAGAAGAACAACACACTCACTGCTTATGTGGATTTCACCTAAGTGTCTTTAGATCACCTTCATTCTGTCAATTTATGTGCAGTATGAAGCTACGAGTTAACCAAAGTGTGCTAACATTAGCCTGCTAAAAACAATGCAGATTCGAAGATAGAATATTTAAATGTTTTAATGTTTTTTTAAATAAAAAAAATAAATAAATATTCAGAAATATAACATCATATAACATGTGATACTTAAATGTAAGGAGTTAAAGAAGATATGATTAGTGGAGATATAAAGGGAAAATAAATGCTATTGATTCAGTGTACTTTGCTTTATCAGCTCTTTGAGAAAATATTGATTAAAACAGGTTAATGTTACTTAAAGGATCATATTTTTTATCAGCATTAAATAAATAACGTTAGTTTTTGTACCTTTAATTGAAATGTTCGAGGTGGACTCTATAATAGTGACGCTGTGTGAAGTCAGAGTGATGTGACATACTCACCCTCTGGGTCAGTGAAAGCGGCTCTTCATCCATAGAGTGTTCTTCTGAGGAAAAAATAAATGCAAAAGAAAACCAATTTTATTTCTATCCCTCTTCCTGCATCTCCCTCTCCCACTTTCCAAACCCAACACAGATTCAGCAGACGGCTGTTCATCATGAGTCTGGTTCCGCTCGAGGTTTCTGCTCTTAAAGGATTTTTTCCTTTCCACTGTAATTTGCTAATTCAATTAATTCAAAAACTTTATTTTATCCCCGGGAGACAATTCAAAGGCACACAGAGCAGTAAATGTTTCTTGGTGCTCGTATGGATTAATGTTGGGCCTTTGTAGATAATATAACAAAGAGTAAGATATTTACCTGCTCTTTTTGTAAAGTGACGGTTTTGCTTTCCTCATTAATTGAAATATAGAACTTTTAAAATGCCTTGATTGTGTTGTGTGAAGACTTTGTGTTTGTCTCACCTTCGGGCTCCCGTCTGTCGCCAAGCAATCTCTTCACGAGAGCAGTCCTGTTCATCTTCTTTAAGATATTTCTGGTCAACTTCACACACTCCTCCTCGCTGTATCTCTTCACCATCAGCTCCTCTATTTTCTCTGGGCATATTGATTTTAGATCGAGTTTTGAGAGGAGGGGGACACCTTTCTCCAATTCAACATGTAGGCAGAAATCTTCAAGCTCCCCAGAATCAAATGTTCCAATGTTTTAGACAGCATCCTACGTGTCGTCATTTTTTCAAGCTGGAAAACAAAGACAACATCACAGAATATGCAGATATGACGAGTGCCATTTACAGAACGATTGATATTTACATGTTTGAAATGAAATCAATACAAAATGATTAAGTTAATTAAGTATTATGTAGTTGTATCAATAACTTCACAAACTCTGATTAAATATTTTTTTAATTATCTCGTATTCTTTCATTAGAGAAAACACATTTGAAACATTTTTACTGGTATTGATGGGTCACTCAGTAGTTATTCATCAAAGGCTGCGGCCTTCAGGTTTCTCTAGATCCATTTGTAAATCGTATTCATGACTTACAAGCATTACATGGCCAGTTGCCAGTTTACCTCAGTGAGAAGTTGTCTGGATGAGCCTGCTTCACCTGTTCATCATTTTTGGTTTGGGTTGGGTTAAGCTTTGGTTCGCTCTCAAAAATATTTCAAGGGCTTAGTAAATGTAACAGTAATATAAAGGTATTATTGCTTGAAAAATATGACTGAACATCATTATGATGAGTATTTGGGTTAACTATATCAAAATGTATGAGTAAAAATGAAACAGAAATCTTTGTGTGAAATGTAAATATATAAAGTAAGTTTATTTAATTAAAAAAAGTATGACTTGACTGACAGATTACATTGTTTAAATATTTTATAATAATTACTGTATGTTTCATCGATATTTTTGAGAATAAACTATGAATAGTAATCAGTTTAAAGAACTACAATTATTAGACAATTTAACTTCATATTATTTGTAATTTGACTAATCTGTCGCGGAAGTGACGACATCATTCGGTCCGATTCAAACCATAGACTGTAAAAATAATGTTTGCCCCACACACACAAATAAAAACAGTACCGGTAGGTTTAGCTCCGTAAGCAGCAATGGCATGTGTGCCACGGAAACAAATAACCACTGTTACACGAGTATGTATGTCTGTCTGTGAATGGCTCAGTGCGCATGTGTGTGGGTGGGGGGAGCGAGTGAGGAGAGAGAGAACGAGGCGAGTGTGTTCGGCAGGTGTGTGCGAGCTCACAGCTTCCTGGTTCAATGTACGCTGATAATTTTGACATTTAGATAAAACCCTTAATATTTGCAGTCTAAAACTCCATTCTAGATGTTACTTAGCCCAGTAAAAGTAGTCGACTGTTTACAAACCAGAATACCACTTGAGGAAAGGAAGTAGTAAAACAAAGATGAAAGTAGGCTAACTATAGAAAACTGACTCCTGACTCACGTCCGCTGTTTGAGCGACAAATTCCCAAGAGAGTCTTAATGAGCTGAACCGTGAAGCAGTTACTGTTTGCCTTGATAAAGTTTCTATGTTCAGACGTTGATAAAATAATACTCACCTTGTTTCTGTCTTTCCACGCGTCAAAATGTTTTTAGTAATTATCAACTCTTAAAAAAAGAACAAGTTTAAAGCCCAGTCACATGTCTACCTTTTGCTCATCTATTACCAGGATGTCGAAGATAGCCCTGTGCTGCGTAGCTTTTGGGTAGGATACGTCTCAGTTCCATTAATTGCCTCCTCCTCTGAGTCCCTCCAACCAGAGATGCGCGGAGAGATGCAAGGAAATGAAGCAGAGGCGAGAGGAAATATGTTTTAAGAGCTAT